TTGGGTTGGCACGTTTCAGGGTACACGTACGGGACGTCGCATTCTCTCTCACCTGAGCGCTGATGAGAGCAGGGGTCAATGCACCAGACGTCGAGTCGCCACTTTTGCGCAATTGGCCGAGGCAAGAACGCTTTCATTCGCAACTCCATCACCAAAAACAGTGAAGGTTTCCCAAGACACAAATTGGGAGTCCACACAAGTCCCAGCTATAGTTCTCCAACTTGCCTGTCGTCCACTTTCCAAAAATGAGATGGCCAGGCTCATGGTCCAAATCTAGTTCAGCCATGGTCAAATCATGCATAAGTCGAACTTGGATGGCTCGCAAGTGGCCTCGAGCCATGAAGCTCAACTTCCTGCCTATCGTGGTTCTCTGTTACTCTCAGGGCGATGGTCGAAACTAACTATCACGACCTTTCGATAACCTATAATCAAATATACTCTAGCTTTCACCTCATCGTCTTGTTCGACAAGCTCGCAAGGTGTTGACAACACCACGGGAGAGCTTCTTATCAGCTCTACAAAACCACCAACGCTCCAACATTCTCTCCATCTACAGGTTCAAGGCCCGCTGGCCAAATGGTAAGGCGCTGGTTTTCGGCACCAAAGATTGCGCGTTCGAGTCGCGCGTGGGTCAGCTTTGGGAGCTTCAATGACTCCATCACCTTATTTTTGGTGGTGGAGGTGTCAGAATGCCCAAGAACATCCACACCATGTCAATCGTGGAGCACCGAGCAGCGTGGGGTCGGCTTTCACTTTTACCAGAGACAGCCAAGCAGGAAACGGGTCTGGTAAAGAAGACAAATCAAACAAATTCAGTTTCTCAGCATTGCTCTCGTTTCGGCGCATAACGGCAATGTCAACGGCGGATACTTGGGAGGCATATCGCCCAGCATCAGGGGTCAAGGGCGCATTCGAGAAGGAGTTTGAGCTCGGCGTCCGCAGTCTTGTCGGAAAACCTAGACCTATTCCTCTCCATTTTCCCATACGCCACGGCCTGTCATAGAGCATTTACTAACCCCTTGGTAATGAATGACGTGCACTATTCCCCAGAGTCGCGTCCACGTCTTTCATCCCGATATGGGACAAGCCGCAATGCGCAGCGACCATTCCGGTACCCAAACTCGCCATGCCCGGGATCCGGGTAAAAATTGTCAAACTGTGACGTCTACCGGGGACAGCTGACCGGGAAATACAGCGGAGGCCAGTTTGGATGCGACTTTCCATGTCGGGCACGGCGCTGACACGGCGCGGAGGTGGCCGTCCGCGCCCGCATCGGGAATGGCTCTCGGCACGCCGGGATGCGCTTCCCAGGAACCTGGTCCTGCGGGTGCGCCGTACCTGCAGCCACGGTATTGTGTGTGTATGGGAGTGGTCATGCGGGATTGGGTCGCTGGCGGTTGGAAAGGGGGGGGGAGAGATTCTCCGGGATCCTCGTCTATGCATTTTGCTTTCTTTCCCAGGTTGCCGTCGAGCATCTTGGCCCCTTTATGTCAGGTTCCCTAGGGGGTAGGGGGGGGTGATGGGCGGCTCGCCGAATGGACCGTTAGGGTGGTATCTGCTCGCGATTGCGGCCGAGATTACCGTGGGCTTCGCCTGCCATTGAGATCCGTCTTGTACTGGGAGTGCGACGCGGGTCTTCGGTGATGATTCCCCACGGGGCGGCGGAGGGAGGAGGAGCCGCGTGGCGGGCGGTTTGGAAAGGGGAGCGGGGAGGTTCTTATTAAAGTGAAGGGGACGGGTCTTGGGTGTTGAGGTTTTTCCTCGTGGCCAGGCCTCTCATTCCTTGTGGCAGCCCGGAAAGTCTTAGGCACCACTCTGTCTTTCGTTCATCATGGGGACCGCATCTTGGGTGTTGGGCGCCCTTTTGCTTGGAGCAGCCTGTAAGTGAAGATTTTTTTTTGTGTGTGTGTGTGTGGGGGGGGGGGGGGGGGGGGGGGGCGGCAGTTATGCCGTGGGACTTGGCTGACAGGAGATATCTAGATCTGCCCTCGGTTCTCGCTCAGGGACCGTATGCTACTACGTTCACCGATGCCGAGACGGGAATCGTGTTCAACAGCTGGGGGATCTCCCCTGAGAGCACACAGACTCGAGGAGGCTTCAACTTCGGTGTTGCCCTCCCTTCAGATGGCTTGTCGACGGACGCCAGCGAGTTCATTGGATACCTCGAGTGCGCCTCCAGCGATGCCAAGGGATGGTGCGGCCTCTCCCTGGGAGGTCCCATGACTAACTCCCTCCTCCTGACGGCGTGGCCCCACGAGGATGAGATCTACACGTCGTTCCGCTATGCCACGGGCTACACCATGCCCGAGGTGTACAACGGCAACGCCAAGCTCACGCAGATCTCGTCGCGCATAAACTCAACTCACTTCACTCTCGTTTTCCGCTGTGAGAACTGCCTCCAATGGAACCAGGGCGGCCAGACGGGCGGCCCGCAAACCAGCACGGGCTTCATGCTCCTCGGATGGGTTCAGGCCTTCCCCTCGCCAGGCAACCCGGCCTGCCCCGACCAAATCACACTCGAGCAGCACGACAACGGCATGGGTATCTTCCCTGCCGTCCTCGACGAGAACGCCGCCAACCCGTCGTACACGGCCTGGGCCGCCCAGGCTACCAAGACGGTGACCCCCACTTGCTCCGGGCCCATCGAGACGGGCATCGTCTCCGTTCCCGTCCCGACCGGTGCCGTCTTTGACTACGTGGTCATCGGAGGCGGTGCCGCGGGTATTCCGTTGGCAGACAAGCTGAGCGAGGCTGGCAAGAGCGTGCTGCTCATCGAGAAAGGCCCTGCATCGACGGGACAGTGGGGTGGCACGCTGAAGCCAGAGTGGCTGCGGGGGACGAATCTGACGAGATTTGACGTCCCGGGTCTTTGCAACCAGATTTGGGTTGACTCGGCTGGCATTGCCTGCACGGATATGGATCAGATGGCTGGTTGTGTGCTCGGTGGTGGCACGGCCGTGAATGCTGGCTTGTGGTTCAAGGTAACTCGCCCCTCTCCTAATCGAGTGTTGGGTGGTTTGTTGACTGGCAGTGTAGCCCTACGCCCTCGATTGGGACTACCTCTTCCCCACCGGCTGGAAATACGCCGACGTCCGCGCAGCTGTTAACCGCGTCTTCTCGCGTATCCCCGGCTCCGACGCCCCCTCCACCGATGGCCGCCGCTACTACCAGGAAGGCTTCAACGTCCTCTCCACCGGCCTCAAGAACTCCGGCTGGACCCAGGTCACCGCCAACTCCTCCCCCGACGCCAAGAACCGCACCGTCGCCCACTCCCCTTTCATGTTCTCCGGCGGTGAGCGCGGCGGTCCCCTCGCTACCTACCTCGCTTCGGCTAGCAGGCGCGGAAACTTCAGGCTCTGGCTCAACACTGCTGTTAAGCGCGTCATCCGCGAGGGTGGACACGTCACTGGCGTTGAAGTCGAGGCGTTTAGGGATGGTGGGTATGCGGGCATCGTTCCGGTTACGAGCATTACCGGACGGGTTGTGCTCAGCGCGGGCACGTTCGGCAGCGCGAAGCTGATGCTGAGGAGCGGTATTGGACCGAAGGATCAGCTCGAGGTGGTGAAGAGCAGTGCGGATGGCCCGACCATGATTGCGGAGAAGGAGTGGATTGGGTTGCCGGTTGGGTACAACCTTGATGATCATTTGAATGTGAGTGAACATACCTAGAGGGGGGGTTATGATGGGCGATGCTGACAGGAGCTGGACAGACTGATACGGTGATTTCGCATCCAGATGTGAGGTTTTATGACTTTTATGAGGCGTGGAGGAATCCTAACGCCACGGATGCGGCTAATTATCTGAGTAAGTTTGGGGTGTTTTTTTTTTTTTGAAGCCGGGCTAGGATGAGATGGAACTGACCGGAGACAGATCACCGTACTGGTATCCTTGCTCAGGCTGCACCGAATATTGGACCGATGTTCTGGGAGGAGATCAAGGGTGTCGATGGCATCATCCGTCAGCTCCAGTGGACTGCCAGAGTTGAGGGCAGCTTTGACACGCCTAACGGATGTGAGTATTTTGACTCTGTTTATTCTCCGGAAAAAAAAATGGAAGAAGCTGACTGTTCAGTCGCCATGACCATGTCGCAATACCTCGGCCGCGGCGCCACATCCCGCGGTCGCATGACCATCACCCCCTCCCTGACCACCATCGTCTCGGATGTTCCCTATCTCAAGGATCCCAACGACAAGGCTGCCGTCATCCAGGGCATCGTCAACGTCCAAAACGCCCTCCGCAACGTCCAGGGCCTCACCTGGCACTACCCCTCCCCCACCACCACCGCCGCCGACTATGTCAACAACATGGTCGTCTCCTACTCCAACCGCCGCGCCAACCACTGGATGGGTACCAACAAGATTGGCAGCGACGACGGCCGCCGCGGCGGTTCCGCCGTCGTCGATCTCAACACCCGCGTCTACGGCACCGACAACCTCTTCGTCGTCGACGCCTCCATCTTCCCGGGTAACCCCACCACCAATCCCTCGAGCTACATCGTCACTGCCGCCGAGCATGCCTCCCAGAAGATCTTGGGACTGCCTGCTAACAAGGCGGTTCCGAGGTGGGGACAGTGCGGTGGGCTGCAGTGGACGGGCAGCTTTGTCTGCGCGGCGCCGTATACGTGCCAGAAGCAGAATGATTATTATTCGCAGTGCCTTTAGATTTTGCCTATCTTGCCCAAGGGATGGGGGTAGTCTAGGCGCTGAAGGGAATAATCGCTTGAGAGTTCGGGATGGAGGGGATGAGATTGAAGTTTCGTTGTATATATATATGAGATGCGAAACGTACAAACCGCAGCGTACATACTTCTTGCACATATCCTTTTTGTTTTTTTTTCTTTTTTGTTTTCGTTTTTTTTGTCTGCCTATTCGAGTGTGCGGGGGATGTCTGAGTGACGTCTATTTGAGTGGTTACCCCTGAGTTCAGCCAAGCCGGGTTGAGTTGAGCCGAAGTGAGTTGGTGGTAACTGAAAAAGAACCATCATCTTTTTATTCGATCAAGGCGTGGTGGCAGAGTGGTCTGATGCGCAAGACTAGAAATCTTGTTCAAGAATGCTGTTCAAATCAGGCCCACGTCGATGTCAAACATGTTCTGCATCCAGAAGTAGATTAAGAGTTGTTTCTTTTTGCAGATTTTTTTGTTTTAGCGGTGGATTGCGCTGTGGAGTTGAAGGTGGATTAACCAGGTTGTTAGGAGTGCACGGTCTGGATCGAAAAGGGGCGAAAAGCGGACGTTTGGGCGAAGTAGACTCCACAGTAGTTGTCATGTCTTCACCTGTTGATGTTACGATAACTTTTTGTGATTCCACTATACCAAAGTCCACGCACTAGGTATTCCTATTGCCCTCCAAAATCTTGCCTTCCATCTGCTCGAATGCCCCCAGTACATTCCCGTACTCCTCAAACACACCCTTTTTGTACCCCTCGCCAACCTTCTGAATCGCCCCCTCCTCCTTCCACCGCTTCCCAATCAGCTCATCGAATGTCTCGCCGTCCGCCCGCTCAAAGGCCCACACGGCCTTGTACGCTCCTCCTAGAGCACACGCGTTTCCACCCACATCAAGCTTGTACACGCCTTCGCTCCCGCCGAGGACGTCGCCGATGATCTGTGTGATGGCAGGGTTGAGTGAACCACCGCCAACAAGATAGACGCGACGAGGTTGAGCAGGGAGGCCGCTTCCGGGGCTGTCGACGAGTTTTTGGCTGCGGAGACGCATGGAGAGGGCTTGAGACTCGATGATGGTGCGGGGATCGGTCTCGACAGGCCAGGGGTCGGATGCCTCGGTGAGAGCGGTGCCGTCGGCGGGGTTGCAGGTGTAGCGCCAGGTGCCGGCTTTAATATTGGGGACGATTTCGGGGAGATAGAAGTAGAGGCCGAGCTTGGCAGAGTCGGAGGGCGGGGTGATGGAGAGAGCGGGGGTGGAGAGGGCGGCGGCGTTGAAGTTGGCCCAGGGGTCGGAGCCAGAGGGCTTAGGGAGAACGTCTCGGACTTTTTCGCGGGCGAGGCCGCCGTTCTTGTAGCAGAGCATGAACATATACTGGTGGGGAGTGGTGGGATGATTGAAGAAGTGGTAGCTGGGGTCGGGCCTGTAGACGGGAGTGACCATAAGGAAGGTGGTGCTGGTGCCCAGCGAAACGATGGCGTCCAGGGGGCGGAGGGGCAGCGCGAGAATGGTGGCCGGGTTGTCGCCGGTGAAGGGGGCGATTCCGCAGTCAGGGCTGAAGCCGTACTTGGAGGTAAAGTAGCTGCTGATGTTGCCCATGCTGCCGCCACCGTCCCTTCGGACCTCGCCGAGTTTGTTGCGCAGCTCGGATACACCGTCGGGGCCGGCTGTCAGTTCAATGAGAGGCTCGGACCAGTCGTTTCCAGGAATATCCCAGAGGTTCATGCCGCAGACGTCACTGATGTCCATGGGTGCGACGGTGCCGAGAAACAGGGAGGCGAGGAATGAGGAGACTAGAGATATCCGGGACGTGGCGGCGTACATGTCTGGAAGTTTACGTCGAAGACGCATGATTTGCGTGCCGGTGAAGCGCTGCAATACCAAGTTAGCTGTCCATTCCTCAAGCTACCGTTTAGGGTTTAGGGGCACATACGTGGTGGGCAGAGCTTCCCGTCACCTCGGCCAACCTCTCAGCGGTCCCCATCTTGGCCTCATACTGGTCGCACTCGGCCTGTGTGCTGTGGTCTTGCCAGTTGGGCGCAAAAGGGTGCGAGAAGGCTCTGGTGAGCTGATCCACCAGAGGCTTGTCTGATTTCAGGCCGCCCAGAAGCGACTCGGCTTCTCTGCTCCAGTACACGCTTCCGTGCTGCTGGCAGGAGCCGCTGATGCCGCGAATGCGACTCAGGGGCGTCTTCTTTTCCTGAAGGCGTTGCAATGCGAGGTCCAAGGCCTCGAGCCACATGGCCACAGGCGCAAAGACCTCGCCCTCGGCTTCGTTGACTTGGACGCCCTTCTTGATGCCATACTTGGCTCCAAAGTCTCCGTCGAAGTCAACCTTGGCATCCGACACAACTGTGAGGTCCGACTGGACGACAATCGCTGCAAGGGAAGACTCAATGGTTAGTGAGGCTGTCCGTGCAAATTTAACAGCGCTGTCCACCAACCCTTGAGCTGCTGGGTCGACAGGTCGAAGCCTAGGTAAAGGGGGCCGTTATCGGCCATTGCACCAGGCAAGTTGAAGAGGGGTGCGGGACGGGCGTTGAAGAGGGGCAGCTCGGCGTGGAGAAGTCTGTTGAAGACAAGATTGGGTCCAAAAACACCGTCTTCAAGGTCAATCAACAAAATAGCAACCCGAAGAAAAGGAAAACAACGGGATCAGTACACTCCTCTTCGCCATCTTGAGAGGCGGGACAATCGTCGTAAAGTACGTTTTGGTGACGGCGGGGCAAGGCACGGCAGGTCCATCGCGGGCATAGGGCAGCCTCGTCTCTGAGCTATTTAGCCTATATCCCAAGCCAACTCTCGACCAATGGGTGCTCCGCTTCACGGGAGCGCTCCAATGGCCTGGCGACGGTTGTGGTTGAGAGAAGATTGAGTGCCGCGTGACCTGTTTCCGTCAACGGAGCCACTTTCTTTCTTTTGATGGTTCTTAGTTGCTTCGCACGCCCAAGCTAACATTAGATGGAGGCCCAGTTTCACGCAAATAACCCACCTCTGGGAGAGCAGTCAATGGAACTGTTGAGGTCGGATGTTGCGTCTGTGGAGACCGGCCTGGGACATCTTCAACCGCAGTCACCCCTAACCCTGATCATATGGTCCCCCGAGCTGCTGGACAGGGATCGCCCCAGCCACCCCTGCCCGCTTTATGCCAGCGAGGCCAGATCCCTGCAAGCGCATTGTAACGGGGAATTGGGGTAGCAATGACGGGATTGCCCATCTGCCATCTGGCAACTGCCCAGCATCTTTTTCCACCGTCGAGAACAGAGCCTTTTGACTTTCTCGAGTGGTGATTTAGTGCGACAGGGCCGCCATGGACAGCCCATTTTCAGACTGCATATTCATCTGAGAAAGCGCACTCACTCGGCTATGCGTCTTCCATCTTCGCTTGGGCGGGGGTTCACCGTTGCGCTGGTGTTCCTGGGACTCCACACGGCCACCTCTAATGGCTCCAGGACGCCGGGCCATGATGCGACTCTGAGTGCCGCCTCGACAGCCCCAGAAGTGTGCGAGTCCAAGACTATCAACTACATCACCCATACCCTCCCGCAACAATGCCTGCGAACCTCGTGGACCGCTGCGCCCGCCACGGCGGCATCACCAGAGGCGACTGTGACAAGCGCCGCGACGACGACGAGCGGTGGGCCGGAACCAACAGCCCTGAACGAGACGCAGCAAGAACATAAGCAAGCCGGTGACGACGGGGAGAAGGACAAGGCGAAAGAGGAGGAAGAGAAAGAGGGCTTCGCTTCAGGCTCGTTCATGTCGTTCGAGGAGTGGAAAGAGATGATGCTACGGAAGTCGGGCCAGGACCCTGCCAAACTCAAAGACAAGAAAGCCCACGAGCACAAGGTCGACCGAGACCCGACCATGACCGGCCATGAACCCGACAGTATTGGGGAGGATGGTGAAATCGACTTCGACGCGCTCTCGGAGAAGGTCTCGGAACTGGCGTCATCCTCCTCCGGCGAGCCCACGCCACACCCCGGAAACGAGGTTGAGGAGCCCGTTCTGCACGAAGACGGGGTTGCGCCGTATTATCGGAGCAAGGACGCAGGGAAGACGTGCAAGGAGAGGTTCTCGTACTCTTCTTTCGATGCAGGCGCCACCATTCTCAAGACCAGCCCCGGTGCTAAGAACCCCAAGGCCATCCTGGTTGAGAACAAGGATACGTACATGTTGCTCGAGTGTCGTACCAAGAACAAGTTCGTTATTGTCGAGCTCAGCGACGATATTCTCGTCGACACTGTTGTGCTAGCCAACTTCGAATTCTTCTCCAGCATGATTCGCCAGTTCCGAGTCAGTGTCAGCGATCGATATCCCGTCAAGTTGGAGAAGTGGGTCGACCTGGGAACCTTCGAAGCCCGGAACACCCGCGACATCCAGGCGTTCCTGGTAGAGCACCCGCAGATCTACACCAAGTACATCCGGATCGAGTTTCTCAGCCATTACGGCAACGAGTATTACTGCCCCGTCTCGTTGCTCCGTATCCACGGGACCCGCATGTTGGACTCATGGAAGGAGCAGAGCCACGATGATGATGTGGAGCAGATTGAGGGATCCCGCCCCCAGGAGGCGCTCATTGATTCCAACCAGACCGACACACAGGCAGACGTTACACCGTCGAATACGACGGATAGTAGCAGCCCTCACACCAGCTTTGTTGAGATGGGGTTGTCCCCGTGGCAACCAGTGTTTTACTACAACTTCTCTGAAGAGACCTGCGTATTGCGGTCTCCCACCACAGAAGACCCGACGCCGGTTTCGATTGGTGCCGACCACAATCACAGCGCCCTAGCTGGTCACCACGAGAACAACACAGCGCCGTCCCCGCAGGCGACCCCTCCCTCAGAAGCTGTTCGGTCTCCTGGCTCGTCTTCAGGTCCTGCAGCTGCAGCCCAACATGTTGCACCGCAGTCTACACAGTCCGGCACACCTTCCGCTGCTTCGTCTGCGCAAGCTCAAAAGGCCGCACACGTCAACAGCCATGATAGCAGTTCGCACACTCATAGCTCCAAGGCCTCCACAGCTCGTCCCGACGGACACTCGGATAACTCTTCGTTTCGGAGCTCTGGCACAACAGCAACATCCTCTGTGACTACTTCCCGCAATAAGACTGCCTCGTCGAGTGCATCTTCCGCTTCTCCTACGGTCCAGGAGTCCTTCTTCAAAACCGTCACCAAGCGCCTCCAACTCCTTGAATCCAACACTTCCCTCTCCCTCCAATACATTGAGGAACAATCCCGTTTTCTCCAGGAAGCACTCCTCAAAATGGAAAAAAAGCAAGCCAGCCGCGTTGATGCCTTCCTCGACAGCCTCAACAAGACTGCGCTCGCCGAGCTCCGCACCGTTCGCACCCAATACGACCAAATCTGGCAGAGCACCGTCATCGCTCTCGAAACCCAGCGCGAGCAATC